TACTATGATGCTTAGGTTAAATGATATGAAAATCTGGACATACATGGCACTTCTTCGTAAATCTATTACAACTAGGCACATGCTGTTCTAAGAAAGCCTATTGTCACTTTAGAAAACGCTTCTACAGTTTTATTATGTGTATGCATTAGGGATCCAAGCAAATTGTCCTTTTACAATGTTAGTTATCAGAGCAACAATGATTACTAAAATTTTTTATATATCTCTTATCAACGGAAGCTAGGCTATGAAAACTTCTATCCTCAGTAAAACTAGTAGGGTTGGGGGCAGTCTATAAACGCCTTAATTTTAGAGTGATGAGGTTTAATTCTATATCCATACACAATGAAATTAAAGAATTTTCATTTGCATAAAGGAATACTTCTTTATGTTAATATAATATTTTTTTTTATTAAATCCTCAAATATTAGCTTGAGGTGCTCTAAATTATTACTCTCATCAAGATTTGATTTATTAAATCCTCAAATATTAGCCTGAGGTGCTCTAAATTATTACTCTCATCAAGATTTGAAAATGTAGATGTCTTCTAAATAGAGTATCACAAGTTTCCTATATATGGCTTGAAAACAATTTTCATCAACCTCATGAAGATACCAAGAGTATTGGATAAGCCAGCAGGCATGACTAACCACACATGGATATCATCTGGGCTTTTTAAGACAAATCTTTCACTCATCTCCTTCCCTGATCTTTGTTTTGGTAGTTTTCAATCTTAAGTTTTATTTTAGAAAAATAATTGGCTCCAAAGATAAGGTTTAAAATGCCCTCAAGCCTAAGGTATCGGGAACTTGGTTGTAAGCTTTTTGATGGTCTTGTTATCCATACAGATCCTTTATGAGGCATTCTTATTTGGAATCAGAAGGGCAAAAAATGCACAACAAAGAAGGCTTTCATGGAGGAGCTTTTCTTAAATGGCTCATCAATTTATTTTTTTCAAATTTACTTGTTCAGTTGAGTTTATTCTATAAGGGAATGGATCTGGGAGTTGAGATCCATTTATGGCGTTTAACACATACTATATGACTCTCAATAATGGCAATTAACCAGTCCTATTCTCAACGGCATTGATACTAAAATCTAACTGAAGTAGGGAGACGGCAACAAGTATGCTACTTCATAGGCTCTGAAATAATGTCCCTCAAATAAAGCAAAGGAAGTGACTGGAAAACTCTCTGGTAAGGGTATGAACCAAACCTTCTCCATCCTATAGCCAGGTGTAATTGTGGTGGTAGAATCAGATGCACAATTTCTTCCACCATTTTTAGGGGTTTTAATCACTATTATTTGTAGTGTAGAACTTTTCTTACTTTGGAATTTGGTTGAATATTAGAGGATGGCTTTTGTGGTGTTATAACATGTGCCTTCTCTAATGGTTTATAGGTTAAATGATAATGATGTAGATGTTCTTCCTAGCATAATGTACGATATTAAAATTGTATAGCCAAGGTCGGCATAGCAAAGTATGTATTATGTCTATAAGAAAGATATCACACTAGATGCTATCCATATAACTACTCTTTTTGAGAGGAAATAAACACTGAAGTTGACTTTGCATGCAAATTATAGCCCCAGAAGTTTCACCACAACCCTTGCACTTAACTAACCCATCCAACTTGATTACGAGGTTGATGACCCCACCCAATTTCTAAAAAAACCCGGCCTAGCACTAGGCCGCATTCTAAAAGGAATGGGAGTAAACAAGCCAGTGGAATATGAATACTAAAAAATTTGATGATCTTTCTACTAATTTTTCATACATTGTTTTATATCATGCTAATATTTTTTTTTTTATTGAGGGTACAATGGATTAGTTCTTTGGTTAGCATATGATGAATGGTTATGATAGTAACTTTTGATAAGGCAAAGTTTAGTATGCATGGAACAATTCCTTAGCAAAGAAGCAATGCACTTGGAAAGTTCAACCTAACTTGGATAAAAAGAAGAAGATGCATAGAATCAAATATTACCTTAGACACCTTAGTAAAAAGCTGCATGGGCAAATACGATAAGGCAAGACACCCCCTTTAGGTCAGTAAGTATCTTATTACTTATGAGGACTGTAGTTTTTAGGGAACCCTTTAGGCCACTTATTATTTAAACACCTTTTTGTTTTTAGGACCAACCGTGCAGACAATCAATATCAAAAAGCTAATAAATTTATTATGGATCTTAGGATGTTGAGAATGGCTAGATACCAAAGCTTACCTAGCTTCAGAAAGGGTTGTCCAAAGCTTTCACTTTTTTTATTGGCCTGCTAAGGATCTGTGGAGCACTCTTGAGTGATTGAAATAATTTTAATGAGGTGATTGTTGAAGCGAAGGAGTCAAACAAGACATTAGGTCATAGACAGCTCTAGAGCATTTTTTGAAGGGTTGGATCTAGGGTTTTTTTATAATGAAGGTTCTAAGAAATAGAACAACTTGAGAATATTTAGGCAATGCCTTCAGATGTGATCTCTAGTGTTTGGTGAAATTTCAAGGGGTTATCAGGCAAGGGATGGGTAAAAGCTAAGTGTAGGTCAAGGTGACTTAATTTATATAGATTTTACTAATATTGAACTTATTGAGTTAGAGAATGGACTTTAGGTTGTATGGAGGGACTTGAAAGGCTATTAATTGTTACCAGAATATGTGGAGATCAGATCTGAAGCATTTTGTTGCAATTCAATTTCTTTTAGGGGTGGTGGGAGTGGACAAAAAATAGCAGTCTTCAAGGGATATTTATCAATTATTTTTATCATTTCATGTTATGAAAAAATAGTTTGGAATGATACTAGGAAACTGAGAATATGTTACATAAAAGATTAGGAGATGGAACATGTAAATGATGAAGACTTTGGTTTTCATCGAAGAAAAACATGATGTGGAGAAAAACCTCATTTAAAAATTTTTAAACTAACTTATCAGATTTTATTCAAGCAATAAATTATCGAGGGAAAAACTACATGCAGGGAAGCAAAGAAAAAAAAAAAAAAGAAACAAAATTAGAGTGAAACACTACATGCAGGGAAGCAAAGAAAAAAAAAACAAAAAAAAAAAGAAACAAAATTAGAGTGAAACCATTCCAGTTTCACTTTGAGGTTCTCTCCCCATATGGGGTGGTCATCCTGATTGCTTCCTAATCAAGCCTCAAGATAATTAAATTAAAGGAAAAAATTAAATTAATTTTTTTCCATTTCAAAGTGCTAAATTGATGTATGAAAATTTAAAAATTTTAACTAAAATTTTTAGTTTAAATGTTTAATTTTTATTATAATTTTTGGAGTTCCATATAAAATTTTTTATTGATGCTATATTAATGATGATACCTTATCTGATCTCAGGTGGAGCCCTTATTTTTAATCTCAGTGAGGCTTTCAGAATTAAATTGATGTTCTATATCATGTAATTTGTAAATAACACTTTTGCTGGTAGGATTTTCTATTTCATCTTCTCAAGTTAGGTTTTGTTTTCTCTCTTCTTTTCCGCTTGTCTCACTAGCATTTTGACATCTTTAATCCTCCACCTCTGTGCTAAACCTTGTGTCTAAACTTGGATACCTCCACTAAAGTTAGGCATTGCTTGTTCGGCAGAAATGCTTGTCTACTAAAATTGAGAGCATGTTGTGCCAACGACACTGAAATGTGGGTCGCTTAGGAGTGCTAACCAGATACCTTGTTTGTCTGCATTCAGGCTTGGAATTAGTTTTATAGATGAGGAGAATTTGATGGGTTGTTCTATCTTTCCTTTGTTGAACTTTTACGTGGACATAATCACATAAATTGCAGATGAAACTTTGAATGAAGACTCAAATGTTGCAAGGATCCGCAAATGTTCTGCCTGCCTAGTTGTATTTGTATAATCAAACTTTGGAAACAATGCCTTAGCTTCACCTGACCCCTTTGAAAACGTTCTAACTTTTCCTTTCTTTTAGAATTACTTGACTAAGCTTTTGCTTATTGCATTTTGATTGACATTTTAACTTCAGAAGAACACTTGAAAATGTTTCCGCCTTTTCATTGGAATTAACCAATAAAAGATATTATATAAATAACGCGTGGGGATTTAAATGAGGTAAATGGGAGGCTAGAATTTTCTATTTTCTTTAAATTGAGGGTCTAGTTTTAATGCCACAACAGTTAAAAATTATATGAAGGGCTAATATTTATAGTAGAAGAATCACAGGCCACTTTTTAAATAGTAATATAGATATATGAATACTAGCACACTCGCAATTTTGTGTGCATTTAAATGCATTTGCTGACACGTTTATTCTTTGCGGGATACCATAGCAAGGTATCAAGACAATGCATTGGAGCATGCGTTTTTATCTATGAATATTTTTTTTTATATCCTATGTGCTTTCTGCAATCTTTGATATATGCATACGGATATGCACCATGGATTGTGGCACATGTAAGGTTGCTTGATTTTTGTGCACCCACAGGCAGCTGCATTTCTGTGGTCAACACATAATAGAGCAGGCTGGTGCATGTGGGCGGATACTTGTACATAGAAATGCTTAAATACATATTCAGTTGTATAATATTTTACTTGTTCATCTCTCTCTCTCTCTCTCATATATATATATATATATATATAGACACTCACACACGTATATAGATACACGTACGCAAACACATACACATACACATGTATACCTAGATAAATACACTTACATATATACCTCATACACATGTGAAACGTACATACATGTACCTACATACACGTATGTATACGTATGTACGAATATACATGTATCTACATGTACATACACACGTACATTTATATTATATATATATTGTTTCTTACATGCAAGCAAACATATGTACACATGTGCAGATGCTTTTCATTTTCAGTAGACTACCTTATTTCATGCATTTATAACTATAGACATGCAGTTCTGTTGCTCATGTGCTTGTATATGTGGATCCAAGCATAAATTTATCTTTGAGTAGATTTTTATGCCTTATATTGCAAAGTACTATTTAAGTTTTATTCCAGACTGAACCAGATTTTGACTTGGATATTAAAGAGGATGTGCAAGAAGAGTGCTCAAAGTTTGGTACGGTAAAGCACATCTATGTGGAAAAGTAAGAGATTATTATTCACTCTTCATTCACTTAGTTTTTGTATTATTTATTTTAAGTTCAAGCATTGTTTCTGTAAGTGTTATTGATGCTTAGTGAGTTTTATTTATTTATATTTTTTGGATTTAACACCTCAAAGTTAAACAGTTTGATTTTTTATCCATGTTGGGACTTGTGAGGTCATCTTTGTTTCTAAGAATTTTTGCACCTTATTCTGTATGTTTTGTAACCTGTTTCGTAGAATCATGTCTCTTATCTGCTTATGAATTTGAGTCATTTCACTTCATATTAAAATAAAATTTTTCTTAGCTTACCATGGCACCAAGAAAAGAGTAAGGAAAACTACTTATGAAATTTCAAATTTGAACTCAAAAATTTGAATTCTATTTCTTATTTTCCCTCCAAAAACAAAGTGAACTCTACCAATTCCATTCCTATGGCATCCAATTCCCCTGATAATCACAGAATGCGAGTTTTCAATCGGTAGAAGTTTCATTCACAATTCCAGTGAAGTTTCATTCACGCAGGACAAAGGCACTACGTCAGAATCATCCAATTCCCCTGATATCCAGAGAAAACCAGGAAATTTGAAATCACCTGGTTTTCTCCTGCGTGAATGAAACTTCAAAGCTTTGATACAAGACATTTAATTTAGAAACCCATCCACAATTTCTATAAGTTGTCTCTGGAACTGTATATATTAATGACGTAGTGCCTTTGTCCTCACCTGCTAAAAAAATGTTAAAAATCATACATATTACTCGTTGCTTCGGTCAATAATCGCTTATTTTCCTTCTTGTGATAGTTGAATAATTAATAAATACACACCATTATTTTAGTAAATATTTTCAATTGATTTTGAAAAATTTTTAACGATTTTCTTAGACATTTGGCAACATAGAATCTTTTTTATAGCTTCTAAGTATTTATTTATTTTCTTTAACTGTCATTAAATAAAAGGGAAAATTATATACATAGTACTCAATTTTTATGTATTTACCAATCTTACACCCAAACTTTCATTTTTACACGCATAGCGCTTTATCTATGGATGAAAAGGTGAATTTGACTATTAAAAGGTGATAATGCGTGCTAATTTTTGTATGATATTTGTAATTATGAAAGTTTAGGTGTGAGACAGGTAAATACGAAAGTTTTGGGTGCTATGTATGTAAAAGCCCCTAAATAAAATTAACTTTTGATTAAAAAATGTTAAGTGGGTGGCAAAATTGTCAGAACTGTTGTTGAATGGTGTTATATACCACATTTTAGATAAGTTTTTAACATGCCTATGTATTCTTTACGATCATTCTTGAAGAAAGCGTGCTGAAAGTGCCTTTCGCAGGATCAAATTTTAATTGTTTAGGGACCATTTGAGATCACCTGTTTTAACTTTTTTTTTTAGTTAATTTTGTTTTTATATTATTTCAACATAAATAAAAAACATGTTTGATTTCTGAGAACTTTAATAGTTTTAACATAATAAAAAAAACACAATTTTGTTTTTGTTTGATCATTTTTTAGAATAATCACTATTTTCAATGGACCACATTTAAAATTGTCTCCTTCTTAGCACTTCAATGTTTTATTAAATAAAAAAACAAGATACATTTTTTTTGCTGGATCATTTTTAAAAATAGTCACTATTTCAATGGACCACGACTAAATCGTCTCCTTCTGGGCCTCCGCCCTTATGCCCGAGTCAACTGACACCACCTCAAATTCTATGTGCTATGCATTTTCCTCTCCAATGTCTTCTGTTTCACCAATCTAAAGTCTTCAATGTTGTCCATGACAATTCCTGCTTCCTCGTATTTTGCATCGATTCCATCAGCTTTTCTTGTTGCCTCATCAAGTACAACAAGCTTTGCAACCCCGGTTATCCGGTCGCCTAAAGCATTCTAGCTGAGGTTGAGGAACATTCTTTTGATTTAGATCAGGCAATTTTCGTGGATTGTCAAGTCTCATTCATAGTTCCACCCCGAGCTTATGCAATGCAACACTGTATTTCCCACTATTCTTTAGGCAATGCCCTTCTCTGATTGAATCTTTATTGAAGAAACCATTTTTGCGGCTTGTATAGGGCTAAACGTTGAAGATATACAAGATAGAATGGTGGAGCAGTTGAGGCATTTTGGCAAACATACATTGTGGAAGACAAAATATGCGTGAAAACCATGGGGGGCCCGCTTCCTGCAATGCATGAGAATTTTAGGAATTGGAGTAACAACAAAGTTGGTTCATCCTTCCATGGGGTAAATGGTGGTGGGGACAGTCATCGTTGCGTTGATCGCGATGGACACCATTGTTCAATACCTTGGAGGAAGTGGGGAGGTGTCCACAAGGGCTTGGAAAGATATGAGGTTGATCAAGAGGAGACAAAATGGAGTCCTTTTGCTTCGGCATGGATATGCTCGTGAGGCTGGATTTAAAGGAGATAAGGAGATTTTTGACGCCTTCTTAGGCATGAAGGCAAGTTATTAGGGGTGGGTCGGGATGCGGGTTGATGGAATCAAGTTTGGTTTAAAAAAGATCTGTTTTTAATGTTTTCAAAATTGCATCCAAAAAAGAAAATAATAGAAATAACTAAAAATGCACAACTAACATTTTTTTTTGTTTTTAAAAGAAAAAAAAAGTGATTCCAAACAATCTGTTAATATGTTTGATCGCAAGTGGCACAACGTTCCCCTGCAAATCTCCCCCATATGGGGCGGCGGTTTGATCGCAGCGGCCTCGACGCGCAGCGGAATGCGGGCCACCGGATCCTTCCCATGATATGCTTTTACTACGAGTTTTTCCTTTTTACTTATACGCGTATGCCGACCTTCACCCCGCCTTGACATTTTATGTTCCTCTTTCCCGCCGATCTTCGACTAGGAAGGGGTGCTTGAGCTCCGATCGCCTGCGCACCAAAGGTCAGTCCCTCTTCTCCTTTATCGATCTCCTAATGTTGTTCTCTAGAATGTTCCCCTCGTTAGATTCAGCCACTTTCGTTTTCTTCTTCATGTTTTTGATGCTCTCATGTTTTCTGGATGCTTAATCTATCAATGTTTTCCTTGGTTTGGATTATTATGTGAAGTGCTCATTCGGGCCTATTTTGGACGAAGAGAGAACCCCACATTGTTTGTGATTGTTTTTTGACATTTTGATGAGAAGACCAGACGGTTTGTTTACGTTTCTCTTTGACCAACCGTTTGCAGTGTGAGATTGCTTGATTGAGACTCTTGTGTTTCTAATCCTATTTTGTTTGATGCATTATACTTTTAGTGCTAGGATTCCCTGTTTTGATTTGGATTCACGGTGATGGGGCATTCTATTTGCAACCTTTCTTTTTGTAGTGGATCTAGTTGAAGTTCAACCCACCATGTACAATATTTTTGTGAAAATAAGGATTATTCATGATTTGAGGGCATCACTTGTTCTATTTTAAAGACACGTTGATTTTAGTAACATTTGCATTATTTTTCTCTAAATGGAAATTTAGTGCAAACAATTTCAAAAATTTTGAACATTTTTTTATGTTGTTTTTCCTTGAATGCTTCATAATTTTGTGTGAGTTGTTCATCTCAACGTGCACCTCTCAGGAGAACGAGTTGATTTACATAAAATTAATGGGTTATTGTTGCCAATTTTTTGTGTCTTTGTTCAAGTGCCATTGAACCTTCTCGAAAATTTTCCATCAATTGATTCTTCTAACTTTAATTTGTCATCTCTAATGACGATTACATACGTTCCACCAATTCCTTTGTTGTTTTTTGTTGGAGCAATTACGTACGTACCACTTAATTTCTATGTGTTTACATGTTAAGATATTAGTTATTTTAAGCTTTAGAAAATGAAATACACCTATTTTTGCAGAGATAAGGTGACATATATATAAAAATTAAAGGTTAGGTGGTACCCATGTAAATGTATAAGAATTGAATGTATGTATTTAAATCTTTTTTTACTTCTTTAACTACTATGTTAGGAGAGCTAAAAGTGGCACAAATTGTAGGTTATTCATGCTAAAGAAAATGAAATTTGAGTCATAACTGCACTTCTTATAGTTTTAAATATCAATAGGGGCAGAATAGTCATTCTTCCAAAAAAAAAAAGTTGCCCCACAGTTGTTTTCACATAGCCGCAACAAACAGCCAACAAACCAGCTTCCCCACAACAGCTTCCCACAACAGCTTCCTGGGGCAGCGCAGTTGCAGCTGAAAAGCTGAGAAGCTGCAGCTGCACCCAAC